GGGGTGGGGGTGATATGCATATAGCCCCAGGAAGTTTCAGTTCGAACAACTGATTAACATTTGATGTAATTAAAATTACATCAAAGAGCCAGTAAAAAAAAAACATAAAAAAAACCCATTAATGTTCGTATCAGGACAGAATTGCCTTCCTTGGTGGTTAATGTTAATTTTTTTGTTTGTTTGATGCGCTGCCATTTGACACAAACCATGTTTGAAATCATCAGCTTCTGAGATAATTTTAGCCTTTAGAAAAATTAGAATTATCATTCTTAGCAGCCAGAGCAAAACAGAAACAGAAGATACAGTCCATTTCATTGTCTGAAGCTTATTGCTCATGTGTTTCCACTTTTTTAAAATGGGAACCACCCTTCCAGTTTGTCTAAACTCATGTTTTATTATTACCATGACCATTCTGATATGGTGTAATTGTGGACATTCCCATCACCAACAGGGGACAGGTATTTCAGCATTTTTATTACTAGAGGTTTACAGAAACAAAAGTAAAGTAGCCAGAGTAATTAAACAAGGCCTCAGCCTTTTAATATCTTCTTGTAGCTTTATGTGTGTACTTAGCCACCTTTTAAATAATGAGCTCCCCAAAAAAAATTATTTGCAGACGTGAAAAATTTAAACTCTTTGTTTAACCAACTTCCAAAACCAATGTTTGCCTAATTAACTAGTCAGAGCTGGTATTTGTAATGTCAGAAGACAAAATCTTAAATTGCTGGCCAGAAATGAAAAGCACCATTTTTCCTGCCAAAGCTATCGGTGCACTGAGTCCTGATTGACAGCCTTAGCAACAGTAACTAAGGAAGGCAGCTCTTAACAAGCAGTAAATTTTATACTACAGTGATTTTATGTGTTTCTCTTTCAGACATTTCCTGTTCAAGCAGGGGTCTGGTTCATCAGCGTTGCTGTCGGGGGCTGGCCAGGGATATCCCCTGACCTCAGGGACAGTGTACTCCCCTCCACCACGACCCCTCCCTCGCAGCAGTGTCACCAGGCCTCTTTTTACCTTCAACAAGCCTCACCGCTGCTGCAACTGGAAGTGTACGGCGCTGTCTGCATCTCTGCTCACGCTCACACTGGCCCTGCTGCTCACATACGTCATCGGTGAGTTTGACTTTTCTGGATGTTCAAGTTCCTCCACTAATGTTTTTGCTCGTGTTTGTGGGTTTGCAATAATAATAATAATAATAATAATAATAATAATAATAATAATAATAA